CAAGCAAACTCAATTAGTAGTTTCTAGCTCAAGTTTTCAAACGAATCATACGGATGGATGGTTATTATTCATTGCCGATTTTAGGCACAAATTTGCTAACTTTTATGAAATTATCTTAATTAGAGAGCGTTTAGCATCACGTAATACTAGCTTAAGCAATTAGAATAAATAATGATGCTTGATATGGCTGTACCGATTACATGGGGGTGATGACAAGAAACTGTTAATCTAAATTCCATGGCGTTAGTATAAAGGAAGCTAGCTGTTAACACTGTTTTAGAGAGGAAAAACTATCCACATATATTCTAAAGAATTTGGTTGGTTCTGTAAAGTAAAGGTCTGTTCCGAATAATATGGTTGCGATCCTAAAGCTAATGTTGGTTACTCTCGAGTGTTACAAATTACTTGGTGTAATTTGTTGGTGTATATTAACAAAAAGTCGTAATATCTAATCAAATACACCTTAGGTGTGAAAAAAAGGGCGTGGCGAAAAAATTATTCAGCGTGCGACATAAAGGAATGAAATCAAAATTGGCGGCCAAACTGGTAGCTATACTTATAGCATTGAAATAATTTTACAAATACTCATTCATTAGTTAGCTAGGCTGCGTATTTTATTTTACACATCATCATGCCCAAGTTTAACAAAAAATGTGGCCGGGCTAAATAATAAATTACACTAAAGTCACACGCTAAATCTTTTTTTTTTTCTTGGTCAGCACCTAAGGTTTTGTTTTTGATTATATTTGTATAAACTGGGAGAAAGTAACAATCTTCAGAATTTCTGACCGGATTAAGTGTAAACGTTTTACCAGCCTGCACTACTTTTTCACAAAAAGCTGACTCAATGGAGGTCAAAAACGATTTACGTCACGATTTTGAATCGATCAAAAAATCCTCATTATTTTTATTGAATAATCCAATATATTATGATTTAATTATTCAAGATCTCTAACTCTTTTAGAAATAATTTTTATTCTTTGTAATTTTGAATTAAATGATTAAAAAGAGTCCAAGAAAACAACCAAAAAGCTCGAGCACTTCTGTACAGTGGCCTTTTCTTCGTCGACAGTCACTGTAAACCCCACAGATACAGAAAAACACCTACTGAACTGTATCGACAGCCCATCGAACACCCAACACTTCAAGATATTTCTCAGATCACAGAAGGAGACTTATGTGTTCTGGAAACTATCACGATAAAACTAAGAAAACCAGCGATCAACAATCAGGAACAAGCGCTTCCAGGTTTGCTGAAGCTGAAGGTTAACCTTTTTTGTGAATATACATGACTACCAAAGTAGTATAAATCGATTTTGATTCAATGAGCCCTTTTAAGTTTTAGATAATACAATACTAGTTAACAATTTAAAGTCACAGTCAGAATGCATACTGAACCAATGACTAAATAATGCTGCATTAATCATATCATTATTGAATTATTTGGATCGTGTATGTTGATTTGAGTGTGTTAGTTACACTTTGAGTATAAACTTTTTTTCTGTTAGATTTTAATATTTTATTTTAATACTTGCTGTCATTAAGAAACTAGAACATAACTTTAACGTACTGCTAATGTTTGTAAAATAACAATTATATCTGTAAGCTAAGGAGTATCAGCAATAGAATCCACGGAAAAGAAAAAGCACATTGTTCTCTCAGCTAGCTAGGAGTTTTAGGAGTACAGTACAAAATAATTACAGTATATTTCTAAGAAGGGTTTAAGAGAGAATCATACAGATAGTTTGTATCGTTCAGTGTAATCAGCCCCCCCCCCCCCCCCAGTGGCACAGCGGTATGTCTGCAGACTTACAACGCTGGAAACCGGGTTTCGATACCCGTGGTGGGCAGAACACAGATAGCCCATTGTATAGCTTTGTGCATAACTACAAACAAACAGTGTAATCAAAACAATTCTATCACCCGTACAAGTTTACTAGAATTACTCATGTATTTGTGTTAATCAAACCGTAAGCCACATGTATTACTGACAATATGAAATAACACATCTTTCAATGACGCCTTAATATGGATGAATGTATTGCTTAGAAATATAAACTTCTGTGTATTAACTATATATATAAATATAAAAACTGTTTTCTGGAATACAAACAACTTTTTTTATGTTTATTCCCAAGTTTTAGAGGGTAAAGACACTATATTACTATCATTTTTAAGAACACAAAGTACCACTAGTTCTGCCTCACATAAATTTTTTATGCATTTTGTAAAGGAAAAACACAATTGAGTAACCTAATATATGTGTGTATAGTAATTAATGACTGTACATGAGTGTCGTTAGCCTCGTTCTGGACAAACTACTATACACAATGAAATGTGCATCAAGGGAAAAAAGTCACGAGAAGAGAATGTGAATAAACTCATTTGTCTGTCAATAGCTCCACACGAACTGAGTATCGCATTGTTTTGAAGTAAACCAACCCGTGTTGTACCTTCTTGCTCTTTGTCTCGTCGTAAACACCACAAAGTTAATTCAAAAGTTTCTAGCAACACATCTGGATAGCAATAAATTTATGAGTTTAATCCTCTTAAAAAATGTTTAATTCTAATCGTACTTTAACAGAAGTAAAAAACAAGCTGCGAATTATTCACGGGTTTCTAGAACGCCTCACAAAGATACTTGCAGTCCCGTATGGAAGAAAAGGACTGGAGAGCAAACCAAGACTGGTATATTTATGTTTTCAAGGCAGTGTGTTGAACAAATGTATGTGAGAGATGACAGAGTTATTTGATGATGTATATGCTGTCACTAACCGTACCAATCTTTTAGTGCGTACGATTTGATTTTTTGTTAGTTATCGTTCTGTAATCTTGCCCATATAGAACGACAAAGCAACTTTATTTGAATCTCGTACCAATAGTTGTTGACAGTAATACTCCGTATTGAGGAACTACAAGCGATACACAAAATAAACCACATTGTACATCTGCTTTACCGTAATATGAAATGTTTCCATGTCAAACATTTACAGCGTGTATTGTGGAGAAAATCGCTAACCAGTTTTAAATGTTTTTTTGTTTTTTTTTATGCTTTCAACTGGGGTCCTTGCGGGTTTTAGTAAAGTTTCATATAACATTTGCTGCGCTTCGGCACAAACCCAACGAAAGAAATAAAAAAAAAGACCACTCAAACAGAAAGATGTGTTAAATTTTAGAAGTAAATAAAAATTAAGATGCTTTGTTCTAAATAAAAAAGTAATTGTCATTTAGCTAACCTACTAAATTTGACTTTTTATGGTACTGTTGATATTTTGGCATTTAAATATCTAATCAACAATTCTGCCAAGCACACATTTATGCTGAACTTCTCTGGCGTCTGAGACTGCATTATCAGTTTCTGGAGCTTTCTTACACAAAATATGTAACTTTCTTGATGAAAACCTTTTGTTATTGTTTGTTTGTTTGTAATTAAGCACAAAGCTACACAATGGGCTATCAGTGCTCTGCCCACCACGGGTATCGAAACCCGGTTTTTAGTCTTATAAGTCCGCAGACATACCGCTGTGCCACTGGGGGGGGGCACCTCTTGTTAAAGAAGTGTTTCTTCATTCACATATTAACTTGTCAAATTTTTCTTTTCAAGCCATAATTATAATTAGTTTAACTGTAACACATGGTGCTCATATTAATTTGATCAATTATGCTATCATAGCTTATAAAAATGTGTGAAAAGTATTTTTTAATACATGTTTTTTACATTACTATGGCAGTGAAATTACATTTTACATTGGATACCAATATAAATTTCTAAACAATATGTCAGTGTTTCTGCATATTTGAGCCCCTAATTCTGGTTTTATAATATACCTTAGTTGTCATTTCTTTTAACTGATAAAACTGTTTCTAGTAACCAGGTGGCGTACTCGAACTTCCCTCGTAAATTGAGGGAATACTGCTCAATGTAAACGTGGATTTTTTGTTTGTTATCAAGCAAAATACTACACAATGTGCTATTCGTACTGTGCTCACCACGGGTATCGAAGCTCGGTTTTTAAAGTTATAAGCCTTCAGACTTACCACTGAATCACTGCGGGGCTGTAAACGTGGGATTTTTTACACTTTCATGCTAGTTTTCACACACAATGCATTTTCTCCAACTGTTCTTAAAAAGTTAATTAGAAAGTAGTTTAAATGTCACTCCAACTGCTGCTTTTTAATAAAGCTTAGAAGGTAATTCAGATTATATTTATGTTCGAAGCTGAATGGTTCTTTTACAAGATTTTAAGATCCATATTAAATTTATTGTTTTCGGGGCATATCATATAATTTGATATAACTTTATAAAATTAGTGTTTCAAGTAATAAAAGTAAAAAATAATTATCAATTACATGTGCAAAGAAAGAGCAGTAAAATATAAGGTACTATTGTTTTGAAAATATTAAACATTTTATAAGTTGTCATAAATTTACGTGTTTGTCATTCAAAACTTTCAGTGTTTTTTCAGAATCCCATCATTTCACATCAACTGCAGAAAAACCTGACACTGATAGGTCCTAAACACATCATAAACCGAGGCTCCCGACCCAAGGAGACAAGCCGACGTGGCCTCCGAGCGACCGGGTCTAACAGGTGAGTAATCACCACAACTAGGCCTGAGGCCTATAGCTCGACCTAGACCGAGGGTTACCTTCTTGCTTCCTAAATGTTTGAGCTCATTGTTTGGATTTTTAACAATATTCGTTTGAGGAACTTCACACTTGGTGTTCTTTCAATGAGATGCACAACATTAAAGGTTTATTCATAGCTTCTTGGTTCATTCTAAGCATTAAATTTATAACCCTGTTTTGTTTTTAGGCTGAGCGTCTGCCCTTGGCGCCTTCCTTGCTCGGCAAGGTGAAGACTCACAATAAGCCGCTAACCCTATCGCAGGTTTTAGAGTTCGGGATTAATAGTGTGAAATAGGTTAATCCCCTCGTTCTTTTACGGGTAAACAATACTCGAGAGTATTTAAAAATCTAAGTAGAATAACTCCTCTCACCTGTCATCATAGGCGAAGTCTGCAGATAACGTGTTCCAATGCAGTAACCAGGCAACAGCCGACACTACACCCACCACACAGTGTTCCATCTTTCCCAGTTTGTGGCACGCTAGCGTCTGGCACGACGGCTCGCGTTCCCGCCGCCAGTGCGCACGCGCACTCTTGGCAGGCATGCAAATTGTGGTCCTAAGGCGGTCGTGAGCTGAGCGTCCAATGAAACTGTGGTCTAGCGGCCGATGTGGTTCTCTGTAAGTGACCGAAAGATCAGTGATGAAAATAGGAAACAGTCATAATAATATAACATGAATTTTAAATAATCGTCTCAGATAAAAATCATTTTAACGACGAAACAACAATAAAGTCAAATCACAAATACTGATATTTTCTGTCTGAGAAATCTATCAACGATTGCATTTCTGATGCTATGTTATACCAAGTTGGAAAAACCTAAAAGACTGAACACGACGTGTCACATAAGATGGATATAAAATACGTTTAGTGCTTTGTTCTATAGAGCAAAACAGTGGCGTCGCTAGGTGCTTCAAAGATTCGGGGTTTGGGCCCATTAGCGAGAGGTTTTCGACATTTCAGTCCGATATCGATCATGGTTTTCTATTCTGATTTTTCAAGACACCAACTGTAGATTCGGGGTACTGTCAACTAGAATCAGAGCACGGTCCTAGTGCGACGGTGTCTAGTGACGCCTCTGGAGCAAAACATCATTCATATAACAAAATGATCCATAAAAACAATCAGTTTATAGTAACGTACGAAACTTGAAAGTGGCAAATTTTTTTTTTTTTTTTTTTTTTAGTGTATTCGCGACAACGAACGACACGGAGGAAGGACTAGTCGTCTTACACCTACCACCCACCCCACCCGACCTACGTACGTTCGGT